GATGACATCGATGAGATCCATGCTCTTGGCGAACGCGTCCCTCAGATTGATGTGATGGAAGGAGACGATGCTGCCCTCCCTCTTGGCCCTCTCCAACGCCTCGCGTCTCTTCAACGCTTTCTCGCGCCTCATCTGGTTCTTGTAGAACTCGGCGAAATTGTTAACGATAATGGGAATGGGCAACGCGATTACCAGGACACCACATATACAACACACACTGCCGATCACCTTGCCGAGCGGGGTCGTGGGGTAGATGTCGCCGTATCCGACGGTGGTCATCGTGATGCCCGCCCACCAAAAGGTTTCTGGAATGCTTACGAATTTGGTCCCGGGCTCCTCCTTCTCGGCGAAGTAAGCGAGGCTCGAGAATATGAGGACGCCCATCGCCAGGAAGAGCATCAGCAGGCCCAGCTCCTTGTACGAGTTGCGCAAGGTGAAGCCGAGGCTCTGCAGCCCGGTCGAGTGGCGGGCCAGCTTCAGGATCCTCAGGATCCGCATTATACGAAAGATTTGCACTACCCTGCGCACGTCCTGGAACTGGTCGGTCGCGTTCTTGTTCGTCTCGACAAGGAACAGAGATACGTAGTACGGCAGTATTGCCAACAGGTCGATCACATTCAGACCGCCCTTGAAGAACTTCCACTTGTCCGGCGACGCGCTGAACCTAAGCGCGTACTCGAGGGTGAACCACGTGATGCACACAGCCTCCACCATGGCTAGCTGCGGATTGTCTTGAAAGTTCCCCTTCTCATCATTCACTTGCATACTAGGAATGGTGTTGAGAGTTAGTGCGATCGTCGAAAGCACAATAAAGAGTATTGATATCACAGCTATCACCTGGAAAATCGACGGGATCGACCGGTCAAACAGTGAGCCTGGACAAGATCCGAATGGACGGTTTCATCGTCCTTTTACGTTAAGCTGCTGCGATTTTACGAAACTAACCGGGTCTACCCTAACGTATCTCTGTTTTGTTCCATTCGTACATGAATTCGAACCGTCCTTTCTGTTTACGTCGAACCACCGAGGTGCAATTTGACGGCACGTGACGGCGGAAGGGGGAAAACATGGAAAAGCAACGATTTCTAAATCCAATTGTCATTATTGCATTGAAGATAGAGAGATCGTCGAGTCACCAACAGTGACGTGGCACAGAAAAGAAGAAAAGCTTCACGTACTTTCGAATTGTAATGCCGTTTAATCGCCCGTGAGAAAAGGTCAGACAGAAAGAACCGAATCAGAGATGAGAATTCCAATGGTCAACCCAAGACATCAGACTCACAATCAGATGTATGAAAACATCTAATTGGTGTGAGCATCGGTGAAATATACGAAGAGAAATATAATTCTTACGCTCGTAGCCTGCACTTTTTTTTATATATATTTTATATATATATATACATATATATAAAAGCAACAACAACTACCAAAAAACAGAGTAAAATACCAAAAGCTCTCACTGCACGAAAGCGTTCAAAAATATGTATTCAAACAATACATCAAATACAGTAACAACATATTCGAATCACTGACAAAATAGAAGGAAAGCGTAAGTAGTTTGTTCACACGTACGAAAAAATAGTACAATACGAAGCAAGCGATAATATTTCTAGCGTAACGGGAAGAAGCTCATTGTTTCCGAAACCATATTTAACCCTTTCGCCACTGTGGGCTACGCGTGACCATAACCTCAAATTTGGTTGCAGTTGCTTTCCGATTTAAAAGATATTCTAAAATCAGAAGAAGTAACATAAATCTTCGAGAAAAACGATTGGAATGTCGCGTAAAATATTTTCAAGTAATAACGTGGACCATACCATAACCTAAAATTGAGTAATCGTTTGGGTTAGGTCTTAAATTGTGCGTCTCTTCGCCATCTTGTTCTTGAAATTGAGTTACAATACTAATCTTAAAATTCGTGTTTCTTTCTCATCTATCCTTTTTTTCAAAATTTCAATCAGATATCGAATAAATGTTCGATCATTTAATATTTTCATTACTAATATTACTAGTATTTTTGTTGCTGATCCATCGTTATTACCCCGTAAAAGTATCACATATCCATAGAAAGAATTGAAGACAATTTTAGATCAAATAAACTACAAAAAAAGAAAAAGTCTAAATTAACGATTCTTAGGAAAGGCGGGAAATATTAATCTACCTTTCATTTAAAATTTAGGTTTCAATCTCTAGCGCGGTAACGAGTTCAGTAACGAAAGGGTTAACTCTCGATAATCGACAACCACGTCGTCGTCAGATGATGTTCTCTCATTTCGAATCTCATCGGCTTCTCCACTCGACCTTGGCATTATTTGAATAACGAGCATTAAAAGAGATAGTAGTGCAAAAAGGGCCCCCTCAATCGACGAGTATACGACCAAAAAAGGATGCAAATAAGAAACAGTTGAGACGTTCGTCGTTCAGATCTTAAGAAACGACTTCGGAACGCCTGTTCGAGAAACAAAGGGAAAAAAGGGGAGGACGTAAATGCGGACTGCTGGAACGTTCTAAAGCATTTTCTGCGAAACTGAGGACTCGACTGAACTCGCAGTGAACAGAATCGCTGGAAACTGCCATAGAAGCGTAAATAGATACCCAGATGTGTTTTCCACCAAAAGAGTATCTTCGTCGTTTGAAGGCAGTCTGCCCGACGTCGCTCGACTTATACAAGTTGTGTTTTGTACATTGTTCGGCATGCGTATTTCACACATGTTTCATTTACTCCCTTCAAAACCCCGCTCCCTTCGGTTCACACCCTTCACCAAGGCTCGAAATTAAAAATAGGAAAAAAAAAAAAAAAAGAAACAAAAATAGACCCCGCTCAAAAGTCCTAGACCTTTCAGTTGTGATCGTTATCGGGGTTATTATTATCATTAGTGTTATTAAAGTAGCAACTATGTTGTAACAGTTTTATTGAGAATCTGACAACTCACTGACGATGAAGAAAGTGTTTCAACAACTATAATTTTAATGACAGATAGAGTACAATTTATTAAATCTATAGCTTGTATGAATGTCTTGTTTAAGTTCCTCATTGAAAGTAAGAGATGTCCTGAGACTTTTGAGCGGATATGCAAACGTCCAACCAACCGAAACTAGTCTCTCTCGTGTCCTATTATTATCCTGCCACGCTAGTGCAATCGCTACAAAGCGAAATCAATTCGTTGCTTCCGGAAGAATTCAGCAAAAATTATTATCACGACGTCTGTTCAACAGAAATAAATATAGGCGATCGCTTCGCATATGTATAACTACGGGTATAACGCAAACTCGTGTACACTCGGAAGCAAAGGTTTATACTCTTTGAATTTTCGATCGATCGACTCGCCGTGGTTTTTAACTTCGTTCGTTTCTTAGACTTTAAAACGTGTAAAATACTCGATTAACTCCTTAAGGTCCACTTTCTGTGAATTTTTTATTATATACATATATATGTAAAAATTCTTTTCTGAAAGTTAGCATTTCATACAAAATTATGAGCTGTATATAGTAAAGTAATAAAACAGAAAGGTGTTTTTTTTTTTCTCTCTTTGATACACTTCCCTAAAATTCAATAAATCCTTAAGGAATTAAAGATTTAGTAAAAATATCAAAAATCATAGAATATTTTTTTAAACATCATCTACTGAATATAAATGAGTTGAAATAACTAATTAATTCTGTTATTATTTATCGATCCTTAACTGGTATCGTTGGGTCAATTTTAGATTTAATTGAATTTCGCTACTAATTTCACACCTTGAATTTTAGTAATCTAAGAAAAATGATCACAGTTGTCTTTAACTCGACGATACCATTTGAAGGTCAATAAGGTTAGAATGATTAAAGAATGTGTTAGAGGTTATGTTACGTCCGAAGAATTTTCATCTGGCTGAAAAAGTTACTTGCCTTCCGAGTGTGTGAAACTTTGGTGCTGGTTGAAAAGCAACAAGGTGAAAAGAAAAAAGGAAGAGAAGAAAGGGCTGTTGCATCGGCAGCTCGTCATGCAATCAACTGCGATGCTTTTTGCGATTAACACCAGTGAATTTCTCGATTAGTCGTAAGGAAGACAACTCTCGTCCCGTAGCGGACATAAGTTTAGTCAGTAAGTTAAAAATTATCTGACAATGAGATTCTCGACTATGATCTCGTTGAATTTCGAATCCATTGTAGAGTGGAGGCTGCTGAGTGAGTATAAAGTCTATGACCTTGAAACTTGACAAGAAAAAGAAAATTGCACTTTACATTTACTCCAATTTTTCGAAATCATAGCTCATTCATGAAGCCGAATATAGTATTGAATCAAAGTGAATGAAACAATCTAACCTAGCCTAATTATATCGCACTATCAAGGATCGCAATCCTAAGCAGATCTGCATGCAATTTCAATTTCACCTAGATACTTACATTCATTCGTAACTTTCGAACTACCATCGTTTTCATATTTCAAATCAATTGCATGATAAGTGAAGAAAATTATACCTGTTACATTACATTTACTCTAATTTGTCCAAGTCGTGGTTCAATTGTATCTAAATATAGTATACTGAGTCAATCAACGTGAAGTTTGAAGTTTGCAAAATTTAAACTTGACCTAACCTAACTTTTTTTTTTTATGTAGAGGAAATCTTCATAAGACACCTGAGTCTTTTAAGGGAAGACCGCCAGGTAGTGTCGGATTCTTACCGACTAAAACCTTCAAGATGGCCGTCCTCCGCACGTTGGGAGAGTTCCGAGACCTTTTTATACACACAGAGCTCTCACGTGCTGTTGTTGTCTTAAAGGACAATATCTTTTTTTTTTTCGCCCGAACAGAGGGCTCGAACCCTGGAACCTCAGATTAAGAGTCTGATGCTTTACCGACTGAGCTATCCCAACCTACACCTAACCTATCACAACCTAACCTAACCTAATCTAACCTAATCTGACCGGTAATGCTTTGTTACTATAAGAATCACAATCCTAGAAATGCAACCGCAGTTTGAGCTACTTCAAACTATTTATCGAAACAAGTGTAATGTAAATTTTCTTCTTCTTCAATTATTTAACTTCTGAATCAGTTTTCTTACTTTCAACATCCAATTTTCAATCAACTGGGCTGTTGCAGTCTCCTCTCTGCAACGTATCCTAAGACCAAGATCAAAAAAGTTGAACTCTCTTTTTTTCAGATAATTGTCACTTAGTTCAGAAAAATACATAAAGAAATGAAATTAATATGGACCAAGCTTGCATCAGTGCAAGCCTGTGCGGAACATCTCTCTTGCGCAAGGTATCGAAAACTCGTTGCAGAAAGCTGTGTTATGCGATTTTTTTTTTTTTTTTTTTTTTTTTTTTACGCAATATCGTCATACTGATTAAATGTAAAGAAAGAAAAAAGGAAAAGAAAAGATCGAGTACGAGTTGGGGGAAAAAAAAGAGAAAGCTAACAGGACAGGCGGACATTTGTTGCAAAACGAACGTAATCTTGTTTTAAAATTGAAAGAGAACTGATGCGCGTAAAGTGCAATCGATGAAAAATATACAAGCCATCTCTATGTTCTTCTAAAATCCGTTATAGGTCGATCGATTGCTGGATTACTCACAGCTTTTGTTCTCGCAATCATGCTATGAGAATAATTCGTTCAAGGCCACTAGTGAACACATTGGTAAGTGTGTAAATTTCAGAGAGACATTTCAACCGTATTGGAAAGATCTTTCGTACGAGTGCAGATTTCTCCATAAATATTTGAGTGTTCAATTTA